CTGACGCCGAATTAGGGTTTACGCTGAGCGTAGCACGCCATAGGACTGGAGTTTGTGAGCCAAAAATCGGGTTATGGACAGGAATGTAGTTGTGTGGCCTACCGATACGCTACCGATACCCCAACAGATACCCAGCCTGCACATATTGAAGCCCGCGGCCCTGCAGCCCCTCAATCCGTACACTTAGATTGGCAACCTCGTAAGTATGTACATATGAATGAATGTAAGAATGTACGTCTCTTTGTGTGTGTTTGTGTAGGTATATGCATGTATATATACATATATATATATACACGCACATACATATCATCTTATACGTATATGCCTGTATGTATATGCGGTCCTCAGATTTTATTCGGCGGCCGCAAGTAGACGCATCGATTGAGGTATAGGATAATGGCGCCAGAACGGGGTTTTGACGACGACTCTCGTGGTGGTGGTGGTGGTGGTGGTGGTGATGGTGGTGGTGATGGGCTGGGGTGGCACCCCAAACCACCACAAGCCTCTGAGCCTTCACGTGCTGAATCTCTGAAAGCTGCATACTTTCAGTCTGAGCATGATGCAGGCCCAAGCATCAGGGAGAAATGTTGCTGCTGGTTTTACAACTGTGATTTCTGTCGGTAGCCCAGGCCGGCTATCGATCGTGTGTCTCGTCTCAGTGCCGTAATTGCTGTTGCTGGCGTTGACCAAGCTTCTGTCAGTGCCAGGTGCGTGGCAGACTGCCAGGACATCCAGCTGGTCGGAACGACACCTGAGTCCGGGCGATTTCTCCCCCTTGCAGGCGGACGTCTAGTTCCTTTCCGGGTTCGGTAGGCTTCGGTGGATTTTGCGGTACCTTGAGGCTCGAGGATATCGCGCGCGTTGCTCTAACTTTACCTTCTCAGTTCCATTGACTAGCTTCAGAGTGTCTCGCACTGGAGCCATAATGTGAACCGGTCTTCTTTGCAAGCTCCATGCTCTGGGCCAGGTACCCAAGCTTGAGAGCGGTAAGCTCAAGGAGGGAATACCGAAGCTGGCAACCAAGCTTCTACTGGAGTGATGAGTATTCTGGCTGCTGCCTGGCTCCTATCCTGGTTCCCCAGATTGGGATTGATCCTACAGTCACTAGTCATCAGCACAAGCCGGAGGGGCAGCTTTGCTCTCATTTTGTCGAGGCCGCCGCCTCCACCTGGTCAGGTGGTCCAACAGAGCAGTGAGGTTGCCGTGAAGGCTCGGGTTTGGCGAGCAGAGTTGGCAATTGCGATGGTTTTTGAGTTTCAGTGCCTCGGACATGTTTCGCCTTCCATGGTTCTCAAGCTGGCTAGCTGTTTGTAAGATGTCAAGCATGCCCTGAAGGTCGACATCGGGATCGGTGGATGGCCCGCAACTTAGATGCTCGCGACAGAAGCGCCCCTCGCTGCGAAAGCTGCATATAGCTACATGTGCCCATAGCACACTGCACCGTTTCTCCCGAAGACTTGCAGCCCCTTTCGGACAGGAGCGCGCGCCCCCTCTCGCCGACTGCGCCAGCCTCAGATGGTGCTGTATGGAAGCGCCGCGCTCCTGCAGCTTGTGCTGAGGTGCCCAAGAGATATACAAAGTGGGTCAGGACGGTGAGGAACACGGGCGACGGAAGCAGGGAGGCTCCAGCATGCGCTGTCACTTGTGGATGGCATGCGGGCTTTTAGTGTATGCCAAGCAAAAGGCAGAAGATGTGACTGCTACTGCTGCCGCTACCAAGCTCTTGGCAAACAGCGCCGGGAGCGAACCTCGCTTGCATTTGAGGGCGCTGGGGGCAGTGAGTGTCAGAAGAAGCGCCGGGAGCGAGTTGAGGCCGTCCTCGACAAGTCCTTGAAGCGACCTGGCAGCCGCGACCAGAAGGCAATCCCGAAAGTGGGTGCCTCTTGTGGCACCCCGGATGCATTTTGAGCGGAGCTGACCTCTTGTTTTGCACTCTGCTTGGGAGTACCAGAGTGAGGAAGCTTCAGCCAGACAAACCCGTCCGCATCCATGAAGAAGAGCAGCAGCGTCCCTTCTGTCGCCCGGGTCCTAGATGGCGGTGGCGATGCAGGAAACACAGAGCCTCATCTATCATCCTACCAAAGACAGGCATGCTTTGCAAAGTCCTCCTCCAGCCTTGTAGGCACAAAGAAAAGGACATAAAAGGACACAGACAGCCACATGAGCGAAACTGGATGCACTACTAGTACCGCAAGATGTCGTATGAAACGACAAGGTACCCTCCAGTAATTCTGTAGCAGAAAGTGTGGAAGCAGTGCCAGCTGCAGAACCCACGAAGAAAGTGCCTTCAGCCTCCAACAGCCACTGAACCATGTAAAATGCTTCGCCTGCCTACCAACCAGCTACGCGAGCACGAGACTTCGATCTCAGAACACCTGAACCGATCTTCCCATCCAGCTTTGTGCATTCAAATTTCTGCTCCCCCCTCATCCCGAACTTCGCTGCTGGTCGCAGGCTGCAAGGGCCATGAAGGAGCGCTACGGCAGCCAAAGTGGCACCAAGATCAACCAACTGCAGCTCGGTTCAAAGATCGCAGCCTCGCTTCAAGCGAGAGCTTGTAAATTCCGACTTGGGACGCACGGGTTGGGATTCAAGATGTTGGGCAATGCAGGGCGGCACAGAAGTCGAGAGCATCTTCACATGTCAAAAAACCCTCAGGACGTCCGCGGCGGCTCGAGCTGAGCTTGCCCGCCAGGCAGCCCCACAAATCTTGCTGAGCTTCTTTTGAATCATTTTGAAGCAAAGGGAGCATCACAGAAACCCAAAAAGGTTTGGAGGGGTGCATGGAGTGCTCCTAATATATGATTCAGCGCTGTCGACGTGAAGATTGTCTAAAGCGCAGGTGCAAGCTGTCAGTTTGGTACTTCGCTTCGAGGGAGCAGCTTTCCAGCATCTCCTTGTGAGGTCTCGCACCAATGCCACGCATATTGCCTCCACACAAGCAAGTCGAATTTGTCCAAAGCAGAAGTATTATTAATGATGGTCATGGTCATAACGGAAAAGCTTCCTACAGCTACTATTTCTTCTACTACTACGACTACTACTACTACCACCACCACCACAAGCTCGCATGAGTCGGGCTTGCGCAGGTGCTTCGGAGGCTGGAAGCCAAGCGGCCTGGCTTGCACCGCATGCCTTGGAACACGAAAGCCTCGGGTGCCAAGCCTGGGCCTTCTGGGGAAAGACATCGACGGCTACAATGCGAGGGGGCCGTTTTGGGAATGCCGCGTTGAAGCAGACTGCATTGGCCCATGACTCGCAGCCGATCCTGCAACTAAGGGACTCCAGCCTCGGTGCCTCGGAAGCAGTTCTTTCTGGGTGTAGCACAGAGCGTGACAAGCAAGAGTAAGAGCGATTCTGGTGGCCTTTCCATCCGTCTGTGGCTTTGGAAGAAAGAGGCGCATGGGACATGTGCAGATGCTTGCAAAGAGGCAATGATGCCATTGGCAGCTCAGATACTTTGGCAGGGAGCTCAATGTCATACTAGTCACTGCTCTAGTCTGATGCCTGAGTTGCGTGAGCTTATCCGTCCGTGCGTAGGCCTGTGCGTTTGTTTGTCTGTCTGGCTGCTATCTGTCTGAAGAAGATCCGTTCCTGTGTGCACCCTTGCCTTCATGTGGGTCTCGGGTATTTGCTTGTACACCCACGTATATACCGAGCATGCATGCATATTTGGATGTGATTCAGATGCCATTGGAATTCTGACTGTGTAGATGTATGTGCATGCCGACACGTACGTGCTTATGTATGCAGGTTTTGCTGTATGTTTGTATTTCTGTGCTTGTTGTTGCCAGGTCATCCCGACTCGGGTCTCAGTGGCCCATCTCACCTACCCTGAATGGCATCCCCCTCACGCCCAGCTGCACTCGTGAATGCCACGAGCGACAACTATCTTCAGGGTCGTGGCCTCGACATGCCTGATCACGATCACAGTCGATACGACGATTGTTTGAGCCTCCAGAAGCGACAACTGTTTCATGGATCGCGGCCTCGACATCCCATACGCCTGCGACAGTCGATACATCTCTACTGCAACGGAGACATTACCAACAAATGCCACTCGCGAGAGTATCACGGCTTCACGTCATCCCGATGGAAGGCAGTGAAAAGATAGGATAGGTGTCACGGTTCTGCGGCCCCACGGCAAATCTCTGTGACAGCTACCAGGTTTTGATGGCGAGGAGGAAACGAAGCTCCTAAACACTTAGGTGCTGCATTGACCTCAATCAGTTGTATTGACTTAGACTTAGATGTGTCTGCATCACGGGTACGGTGCCGTGGTGAGCACGATCAGCCCACAAAGATCCCCACCACAGTGCGGACAGGCGGGCAGGGTTACGTTCGAGGTTTGGGGACTTAGTTTGGCTGAATTTTGTTTATGTGCACGAGTTTTGTTCTAGACACATCGGCTGGCAGCAATCGTCTTTGTTCCGACGCATGGTCTAAATGGTTGCATCATCCCCCAGCCCGTGCTCGGGAATCGGTCCCGACGCAACACAAGGCTGGGCCCATGCCGTCTGCCGCAAGTTCAGGAGGCGGGGACATCTTTGACAGAGCACATCCTGTTCTCCCCATGCCCCAATTTCAGAGTTACCGGCGTGCAGCTGTTCCGAACCAAAAGTGTGGTGGTGCTGCATATTGGTGGTCCCTACCGAGATCCTGTCATCAAATATTCGGGGAGTATTTGTGATCTATAATTCAAGATAACTACGGTTCCCTGGTTTCCTCAAGCTCCCGCATGGGAGGACCAGGGCGGCGAAGCGGATCTCCACCTCATGGGCTTCGGCGTGGTCTTTCACGCGCCGGAGCATCGCTAGTTGCGCTTGCAGGTCTGGCGCCTAGCTGTGAAAATTGAACTCTAAACTGGGAGATTGCATGCGTGTATATGCTCGTGCATATGATGACCATCAACCTGGGATTTGCGAGGCCTTGCTGCACGCTCTGCCTCCACATCTTTTAATAGCGCAGCCTTCCTGCACAAAGGCCGCAGTGTGCCAGGAGGTTCCATGGGACAGAAAGCTCCAAACTTTGCTGTGCGCATTGTGCCAGGGGGGCTCTGTATCTCATATCCATCTACATCTCAAAAGAGATCAGTGCGGACCCTGGAGACGGGACGGCGGGCCCGTGCTGGCATCCGTAATGACATGATCACCTCCGAATTCGACCCCGTCGCGCTTGGCTCATTCATTCACTTTCCGTGAAGACGAAGCCCTTGAATCGAGAAGCTCCTGAAAGAACAGCTCATCAGTAACAGAAGGAGCAGCACGAAGAGCCAGAAGCCGCGATGTCCCTGCCACGCACACCGCTGTGCCTATATTTTAGCAAGGCCAGCTTCGGTAACTTTTCGGAATGCCCACAGTCCTCTCCGTCCCAAAATGCTTTGGAGGGTCTTTGGGGCTCTCAGCCTAACTTCAGGAGGCTCATGCTGGATGCATTGGATGCTTTGGGACTGGATGAGCTATTGTGCGTGTTGGGATGTGTTGGGAAAGCTTGCAAACTCACCCGGCTTCTCATTTTGTCGTTGCAGACTCCGTCCCTGCAGAATCCTCAGCAGCTTATGCTGGAGATTGAGAGCGCATACACTTCTCGATTTGGGCCGGGAGCAGTACCGCCTACTCCTGCAAGGAGAAGCCTGGGTAATTAAAATGCTGTCATCTTTGTCATCTTGCGCGACTGGTTGCCCTCCTGAGTCCTTGGTCTTCTATCTTGAGTATGGGACGAAATTAATTACGAGTACCCGGGTGCTCCATGCACAGCATCTTCCTGGCTGCCCTTGCGTCCGTGCGTCACCTCTTTCTGCTAGCAGTGGAGGCTATCTGGCAGGCCTTTCTCTTTCCTCCCTTCCCTTAGGGTCTTGCCGGAGTCGGTCAAGTATCCTCGTGTAGTTTACCATACTGCCTTTTGCAGGACGGCGGGCAAAGCACCGCCTTTCATGCTCCTGGTCTCCCATGGCGCATCCTGCAGGGCACTCACCTCCAGAGTGACGAGAGGGCGAGGGCTTTGCATTTGTGCCAAGCAGCACAGGTGACAGCTTTCCTGTGGTGGCACACGCCTTCCAGCACCTTGCAGTCCACGGAGTGCCCCCGACGGTCATCCTTCTGGGGACCAACCACAGGCAGGACATTAGCTATCTTGCAGCTTCGTTCCAAGCTGGACATATTGGAGAGCTGAAGCTGCACGCTGTGAAGGTGCATTGGTGAGCGGATCGCCCTTAGCAGCCGCCCATGGCGAACGCCTTTGGGGACCGTGGAGGTGGACGCCCAGATTCTCAACAAGTTCGTCTCTCTGGGGTGGCCTGGGAAGGGCTGAACTCCTTGGAGTCCGAGCTGTTTGAAGCCTCACCTTGATTAGAGCAGCTTTGTGTCATGGGAAGGTACCCGGTCGATGAGAGAGGTCATGCCAGAGAGCACAGCATTGAGAACCAGCTGCCATTCCTGCAGCACCTGGCGCCCAGTGTTGCCCGGCATGTTGGTTCAAAGTCCCCTTTGCGCAAAGCACAAGAAGAGCTCAAAAGCAATGCCATCCCGGTGCGGAGTATCCGGCAGTCATTGTACACATTTCGCAACCTTGTCACCCTGTGCCTGCATTTCGGAGCCGACTCCAGGTTCGCATCGTGCCCATTGGCTTGTCGCAGCTAACACTTTCCGAAGCCGAGCAGCTGGCCAAAGATATTGTGGCAGCCACACAGCGCGGGCATCTAAGCGTGCTGGCAGACGTAGTGGGTTAAAGCTCACCCCGTCCAATTTTGCTCAGTTGGTTGTTTCCAGTGCTGAGACCAAGAGGTGAAAATGTTCTGCTCATCGCAACAACAGACTACCTCCATGCCGGCGAGGGCTACTACGACCAGCCCCCTCGGGGTATGCACCTGCACGAGTTTATTCGCAAGCGTGACGCTCCATTGCTGGCCTCCATCGAGCAATGTTCAACCGAAGAGCTAATCCGCGCATCTGGACAGACGGGTATGTGACTGGTCGTGTATTTCATGCGTTGCATGCACTTGCACATGGCAGCAAGTTTCACGCAAGACCTGCGGTACCGGCCAAAACCGAGGTGTGGATTGTGGCCAGCAGTTGTAATTCTCACATGCGCCAAGTTGATGCGCTTCACCAAGTGCCAGCTTCTTAAGTATGCAGTCAGTGGCGAGATCTTTCCAGCCGCTGGATGCACAGGCTTCGCAAGCTGGATTTTAGGACCGCACGAGTTGGTGCCGGCCAGGGCCACATGCACTGATGCTCGCCCCTGCGACAAAAAGAGAAGCTTATCACAGTTGCAAGAGACAATGCAACAGCTTCAACATGGCACTGCAAACACTTTGATCCAAGCATGAGCTGCTGCAAGTAATCTCCGACCTGTCCCAGGTATCACTCAGCTTGTTAATGAGACGAGCACCCTCGTTGGTGCTACCAGATCTTCGCGGAGCGGTTCTTCGGGGACACGGTGTGCATCCAAGATGCACGACCCACGAAAAGGATTCGTCTGATGTTGATGAAGAAGACACTAATTATTTGCAATTTCGTGTCAACCTACATCGAATTCATCATTTACTATCATATATGACGTGAATATGGAGATAATTGAAAGCACTAGTCGAATGTCTAAGCTATAACTCGGCAGCTTTTGCGAGTAATGTTTTATTCTACATTAGGTGATTGGTTGTGATTATATGTTTGGTCCAGAACTCTATCTATTAGAGCCATTATTATTGAAAATGGATCGATCGTTCGCAAATTAACGTACTTGTTGTGGATTTTGCCGACTCCAGATAAAGAAAAATAAAACAATTTTGTTGTGCTATCTAACATATATATATATATTCACTCATATTACTACTCTCACTAGTATCGTTATTTTGAGTTATTTCTTTTTGAATTTTATCCATATATATATATAATTTCATAAGAATGTCTCTATACATGTATATATATATATATGAATATATATCTCTAAACAAAGATCGGAATATATAGAATATATTTTTAATATACGTCTGTAAAATCTTCGTTTGGTACGTAATTATGCGTTAATATAAATAGAATATTTAAAGGATGAATATATGAATTAGTTATGGCTCTATGAATAAGAGAAGGTATAATATAGTATTAATATTAATTAAGGCAAAGATAAATATATAAATAGATATTAGTATAAATAATATAATTATACGATAATATTAGAATAGAATATATTCGGAATATAATGATTTATATATTGCATATATAAATATCTATTGATAAAATTTTAGGTGTTTATATATATTTTTATCTATTTATTTCTTTATTTAATCGGTTATATATATATTTAGATGGT